AAAAAAATCTATTTGAAATAAATGCAGTGCTTTTGAATTTTCATCAAAGAATCCTGAAAAAAGATCACAGTTTCAACAACAACAGCAACAAAGAAAAATAATAATAAAGAAATGGATTGGAGATCCATTACATTGATGATAATAATAAGAAATGGATCGGAGAAATGTTGCTAAAAATTTTGCCTTGCCATAAGAGGAATTTACTTTTTGAAATGTATTTAAGTAGAAAAGGGTTAAAAGATTTAAATTGAAAAAATAATAACAATATTATTGTTTTTACTATATTTTTGATCAAATAAATGAGTATTTTTTTTTCCCCAAAGTCATTAAAAAAAATCTTACTGACCTCAAAAGTGTAGTTTACAGTAAATTAAAGGACTACTTCAACTACAAATGAAAATTCTGTCATCAATTACTGACCCTCACATTGTTCCACACCTGACATCCTTTCTTCTGTCAAACACACAAAAAAAATTCCATAATAGGACTAGTGCTGTTGACTGTTTATCTTTATAAATAAAAAAAAGCAGCTTAAAAGTGTCAATATGCCTTGTACTCTATATTACCAAGTCATTTGAAGCCTTGATACGATAGCTTTGTTGGAGAAGAAGACTAAATAGACAGAAATAAACCCACATTTGTGATTGTTCCTCACACAAGGCAAAATGTGAGGCTTAAGTAATTTTTATGCTACAGTATGGTTATGATACTTGGCATATAAATGTGCCTTTTTTGGAGCTTGACAGCACCTAGTCACTTTCACTGTATGGAAAATAGTAGCAAGAACATCAGAACAAAAGTAAACCTGAATGCTGACTCTCTAAGACCACTGAACCAGTGCATTATATTTAAATTAATTATAAAATTTGTTGTTGTGGTTGTAATATTAAAAAGATATTCTTTAGTGTAATAACACACATTTCAGTGATAGACTGTTAGCTGATTATGCAAGATCTTCCAGAAGCATCTGTGTGAGTCTCACAGGTCCCTGCGATCACATTTCACTCAGTGTTTCATTGTAGCAGTAGAGCTGCTTTTCTTACCATTTCTAAAAGATGGTTTCGATTTTTACATCAGCAAGTTAAGTTATCATACAACAGAAGAAGAACAGGTTTGCTGTAATTTCAGATGTGCCTTATTTATTGTATTTTTCATAGAGTTGAGAGTTTTGGCCGAGTAAAGGTGTGGACTAACATTGCACTGAGGGGAGAATCTTAAGGCCTTGCTGTGACCCTTCAAAATGAGCCTCTTCTCAGCAATGTGACCAACAGACCATTTTGAACAGCCAGCCTTAAGATTGTATATTTGCAGTGTTGATAAAAGATAAAAGCCCTTCACACACAATGTTAGTAACGTCTTCCACTAAAATTTCCTTGCCTTGTCTACCACTCTATGCTGGTTGGCTGATACATTTTCTCCATTTCCCGCCCATTATTCTTCTGTGTATATGTCCATCCAGGCCGCTGGAGTCGCACTCTGTCCCATGATTCTCATTTCGTCTCAATCACGGGACGCAATGCGCTTGGAATAACCCAGTAATTGATTTGACGCTGTGGTTTATTAGGTGCTTCAAATGTCCTCTTTGTTTCTTTACTGGGGTGTTTATGTTCTTGAGCTCTGAGTTTAAATGCAAGTCATACAAGATCCAGTTCACAAGGATTCCTGATGTTGAAGAGGCACAAGGTCATTGAAAGGCTTGTCCAACTCTATAGGAGGTCATGGGACATTCCATGTCCATCCTATTATTGGCATTGAGAAGCTCACAACCGCCCCATGTGGGGCCATGTGAATGTTAGTGGGCCAAAGGCAGAAGTTAGCACGTAACTGGTAAATATGTGTTGTTTAACAAAGAATTTAGTCAAAACAAATGTGTGATTATTGCTTATTTCCTCTTTTAAACAATACTTTTCATCCGTTGGTTTAAATGGGAAGTTGGGCATCTTCCTTTATAGAATCTCTCTGTTCTATTTCCGCAGATTGCTTTATTTTTTCATAGACAGACCCTCCTAACATGGAGATTTACTGTGGGAGCTCGTCACATGATGTGAAACTCTCCCACAATGCAAAGCTCATGAAAAAAGGCTTTGTCTGAACTTGCCAACAGGTATTGAAGTGTTCATGAAAATTCATTGCATTAGTTTTGTGTGAAAATGATTTGGGATGCAAAGGAACATAAATCACATTTCGCCGATGGCTGCAGATTGCATTCAAGTCTCTATTTGAACATCTGCATGCTTTTGTTGTGCAATCTAGTCTGGATGGAAGCCAACAAGGACTTTGGTGAAAGACAAATATCCGGGTACTAACCTGCAAGCAGCAGTGCGGAGGTGTCAAGGTTCTGCTTTCTAGACGTGTGATATGAATGTAGTCAGAGTGTTAATTGACACACACACACACACACACACACACACACACACACACACACACACGTGTGTTTGTCACTGCTTGGCTCTTGTACGCCCATGTGAATACAGCTGAATAGAGTCTCTGTGACTCTCATTTTAACCTGATTCTTTGTATCGTTGGCTGTTCTCGCTGATCTCTACTGGAGACAGCAGACCCGTCCCACGTAAGACAGCTACTGTAGTCAGGCAGTGATGTGTAATTCCAGCTCCTCAGGGACAAAGCTCTGTAGAGGGTGTGTCATACATAGCATGTATGTATTTTAAAACCAGAGGAGATGAATTAGGAATGAGTAAGGATGAGCTTATGTCTGGTGTTTCTGCACCACTAGTGGCAGCACCAAATGAAATTCCAATATATATCGTTGGCAATATATTGCATTGATTTGAGCACGCTTTTTAGTTGACCATTATGTCTCATGATTTTGTCAGCTGTTTTAATAGCATCTTTGATTTAAACTTGATACTAGATTTGGTCCCGCCCCAGAGTGGATATCATTGGTCGAGCCAGTGTTGCTGTGTCAAGCTGCTCAAACAAACAGAGCCATGTCAAAAGAGTTTACACTCTTTGTAGACGTGAGCTGATAGTGAAATTCTGGCCGATACCAATACGTTTTTACAACAGCTATGAACATTTGTACATTGAATATTTGTAACCTTGAGGTTAACAAATACTGAAACTAGTTTTTGCATGTTTCAATAAACTCGATAAATTTTGCATGACCATTTCCTGTTAAGGATAATACTGGAGAGTATGGCAAAGTTTTGAATCGTTTTCCATTTTCATGTAACTTGTTATGATGGAGTGCCTGACAGGGATCATTTAAACGAATATCCACAATTAAATATCAAATATGAAAAAATAATAACATAAATAATAGGGCTGCACAATTAATCGAATTTCTAATCACGATTACAATTACGGATGTCACAATTGTGTAATCGTTCAAAGCACCAATTAATTGTTCAAAGTCCACTTATGTTATTCTGTGTGCTTAAGATGTGTTTTTTCTTTCTACAGGTTATCTTATGGGGTTTTCCATTGTTTTAATTTTAGTTTTAATATAACATTATAATACCATGCATATTTTAACTTTTTTTTAATTTAAAGAATAAACCAATCTAATGAATAGATGCCATTTGAGGCTTAATACTATAGAAAAGCAATAAAGGTTTTTCAGATTGAGGGTTTTCAGCTTGTTTATTTTCATCTAAAAATATGGCATGCGGTTGCTTCAAACAATGATATAATCATTCAATGTAAATTGTGATAATCGTAATTAATAATCGCAATTACAATTTCTAGGGAATAATCGACAATTATGTGCAGCCCTGATAAATAATAATATAAAATATGAATTATAATAACAACAAAAAATATTTAACTATAATAATAATAGTTATTATAAAATTAAATGTGTTTTTTATGTTTTTAAAGTCGCTATGAAATCAAAATGGATGATTCTTATTTTTGGAACTTTGCCATGTATATTTTAAATGAATTATCCATGCACATGATTTTTAATTTTTTTTTAATGAACGTGCCCTTGTATTCTTAAATAAAAAAACATTAATGTCCCCTCCCCCTCACAACGACATCTCTGACGTGTTTACCGGTGCGAGGGGCGGGACACTAATCCTTCTACCAACCTGTTGCTAACATGATGAGATCTATCACAGCAATTAGCAAATGACAACGAGCCAACAGTCCAACGTTCCAAAATATTTCTGAAGGACAAAATCAAGTCTGTCTTACTTTTTACTCTTTCGAAAAACCATTTCACTTGTGTATTGACCTTATTCTCCAGCGAAACAAACACGTGACCATCTTTAAAATATTGTCTTTAAACTTCTGTTTGTGCGGTAGCTCTGTATATTTCTATGGCATCGCTGTCTAAGAGTAATTTAGCTGGTAAAGTGGATTTATGTATTGTAGAGTTAACGAAAGTTATTGTGAGCACTGTAATGTTTAAAGCAAACGTCTTACACTTAACAAATGTCAGTAGACCAGTAAGATTTTAAAACGAGCGGTTCATTCATTAATTCGTGAGATCACTGTGGAAATAAAACCGGAAGACAGAAGACAACAAACGCAGTGCTAAAAAGGGGTGGGGCTACATAATGTCAATAAATATGTCATAATAAGGGGAAAAAATGGCTAAAATTTTAGTTTATGCTGATTTAAAATAAAATGTGTGTGTTTTGTTTTGTGTAGATGAACTGCAATGCAGATTTTGGACCGTATGGTTGCTCAGATGACTATTTAGAGTTCATTGTCTCTGGTGATTCATCTGACCTCTATACATGCAATTATTAAAAAAAAAATTCATTAATTCATGATCCTCCACCATTTAACAGGACCTATAAATTGTGCAATATAATGCAGCAGGGATGTAAAATCTTACAGTATAATGGTACTGAAGACCCCTGAGTGTGTGTTGGCCTTAAGGTATCATCACTTCTGAATGTCTTGCGCTTGGCTGAATCCATTTCAGTCTGCAATGGTTTGTGCAGCCGGTGTGTATCTGAAGCGCTGTGGAGGCCCTTTGTAATGGATTAACGTTGTAATCTAGGCCACCGCAGATTACAGCCTCCTTTCGCGGGCTTTCCCCAGTGTCATGTGACCAGGGGACAAATGGATCTTCATTTCCCATGGATGATAATATGGACAGAGGGGCTGAGCATGAGTTAGTCCAGCACAGGAACAGCTGAAGACGACTGCTTTTTTCAGCTATTGAGAACAGTGAAAAAGTTATTGTCAACAATCCCTACAAGGACCGCTGAGATTACTGCTGGGAGTGTCGGCTCGCGACGGAAATAGAACGCTCTGGAGAGGTAACTTATTAACGTGCTGCTGTCGTTGTCTCAGGCAGGACATCATGTGATCCCTGCTAGCATTGCAGAATCCGCAACACGCACTTATACTTGCAACCGTAGCTAGAAGATGGGACAATCAGCACAGTGATATCCTAACAGGCTCGGTCACATGCAATCACTTAGTGTCCAGGGAGCTTCCTGTTCATGGGCAGCATGGAGGAACCTGTAGAGGAGTACAAGTCTCCGTTCAACTTTGAGCAGGGAGTGAACACCAGCTACCTCTACCTGTCACCTGAAGAGAGCTTCACTCCACCTGGTTCACCGGCACTGCCGCTCAGAGGTAACTGTGTTTGTTAAGGTGCTCAGTGGGTGTGTGTGTGTGTTTAGGTGTGGACTGGTGTTTGTCACAGTATGACAGCGAGAGACCGAGAATGTTATGGAAAGTATGGGAGAGCCCTCTTACTGTCAAGTGCTGATGTTTTGAAGAAGCTAATCTGTCAGGAGCAGATGCTGTTCAAGTGGGCCGTAAGGTTGCAAAATAACACCAGGCTAATGCAGACTCAGAAAGTGCCATCTCTACTAAACATTCACTGTATTATTATTATTAATTTGTAATATTTCTTTATTTAATTTTTTCCCCTGAGGTCAACCTAGTAGTTTTTTTTTTTCCAGTTTTTTTTTTTCATGCGATTTTTCTCTGCCAGTCTGAAAGATTGGACTGAAATAATCAGGGACCTTGTTAAAAATAATAACATCTAGCTTCTCATTTCTAACATTGGGATCCTGTAGAAGGATATGCAGAGCTGTAGGTGCTACACCACTGTAGTAATATTCAAGACAAAAATAGCATGCACAATTAAATATACATTAATCACCCTATAGGGATAAAAAAAAAAAAACCTCCAGTACTGACTGATAACCAGCTTGTTATTTTTATATTGTGTATGTTTTCATATTACATCAAGCCCTTTTATCAAGACCCTTTAACAAACATTGATTGAATTAACAGGACAACAGGATTTGTATAAACTGGCAGGTACTGAAACGCTTAACTATTCTGTACAGTAAAACTGTATCTATAAATTATTCCATGGCCAACAGTGTTACTATAATGCACTTAAGATGTTAATCACTAAATGGAAGAGCAGTGAGCTTGGTTAACAAATTATAAGTGTGTTTACACAGGGCCCTCAATCTCATTATACAGACAGAGAGAGGTCATTGATCAATCCTGTGAGCCGTCATGGCACATCAGGGTTGGAAATTTTTCTTTTGTATGGTGATTCGTGAGATGGCAGTCATTCGAAATCTTGTTATTGTGTATCTGGAAATCCATGTGTGGAGAAATCGATTCAACTAGAGGACAGATGTGGATGTTGAAACTTATAAATTTGAATTGTTACATTTAAAGCTGGTGGTGAAATCAGGGATGTCTGAACAAATCTAAAGCGCTTTCATTACATCTTAGCTGTTGGAAAGAATTTAATGCATTTCTTTTTAATGTCCACACTCCACAGTGATCTTTTTTCTTGGTGATCTAGTTTTTCCCACCACTTCAAGTCTTCATACTTGCATTAAGAATGACTCGGAAAGTGAGGAGAGAGAAAGAAGTATCATCTTTACATATGCCATTTGTTTTAATATTTTGTTATCCAAAGCAATTAAATTAACTAATTTTAAATGTGGCTTAAGCATGATATTATTATTACTACTATTATTAAGTATCTTTATATAATTACAGTATTAATGTACTGTTTTTAACACTGGTATTAATTTGTAAACAAACAAAAAAAAAGTTTCTACGCCAGTGTGTCAGATGACTTTATAAAAGTTATTTCTAACATTGAAAAACAGATTCCAAAATATAAAAGAAATGATGATCTTGCATTAAAAGGTGTGTGTATGATAGGTAGTGTGCACTGCCTCTGGGTTTTTACAAAGAAATATATTAGAGGAATGAGCCACATTTTTTCTAACCCACAGTGTAGAAAAATGTTGTGTGCTGTGCATTGAACCTGTTTGTTTATATTGTTAAATAACTATGGATGAAGCATGCTTTTACAGTAAAATATTTTATGCATTGCTTCTCACTACTTCAGGCACTGGTTGTAGTCATAATTTCCATATAAGTGATGTCATATGGATCTTCCTGTTAACCACGCAACTGTTTCAAATGGTCCGTTGAACTTGGGTGACACTCTGTCAATATTCATTTCCCATTAAGAATGTACGTGACACACTTGTGTCAGTGTCCCCTCATGTGTAACCTGTAGTACTGTCACAGTCAGTTTTGATGGGCAGAAAATGTTGCATCAAACTAGACATAGTGAAAGAGAACATAGAAGGTGGGAAATCACTTTAATTTTATTCAAACTGCGTCTAATTTAAGAACATTCACCCCTTTACCAAAGCAGAACTTGTATCATCTGTACTAAACTCATCTTGTTCATATTAGAGATGTAAACTCAGTCAAAATAAGAAAGTAATCGGTTAATGTAATCTGTGTTCAGTGCACATTTATCATTGTATTAGATGTAGTGTAACAATATATGGTTAAGTATGCTATCCTACTAATTTTAAGAGGCAAAGGTCGTGTCAAGAGATGCCAAACACACTAAAAATATTTTGTTAGGAATTTGTTGTCAAACAAGCTATAAATGACCCTCTCTTCTGTTCCTAATTACCTTTGTGGTAAGTTAAAGTGGGAGGCAAACCTACCAGTTTTTCCAGAAATACCAAACAAGCTGCTTACAAATGAGTTGCACACCCTCCTCATGTGATGCAACTTTTATGTTTCTTCCTGAAACATGTTTGAAAACTCCCAGCTGCAAGCTAAGACCTGAACCTCATATTTGACCTCTACTGAATGTAGGCATAAAATTAGGTCCATAAAATTGACATGAGCAGGAGTTCTTTTTCCTAGCTACCATAGAAAAGGCTGGTTTTGTCAAAGCTCTGGAATCTGTGTTTAACAAAGTGAATAGTCTTATCAGGTTATTCTGTTAATTCAATAAACATGGGATGCACTGAAACACTGATTGTACTGAATAAGAACAAGCGCATCAGCTGATAGCATTACAGTATAATATACAGTGCAGTGCAGAGCCGTTCATTCAGGGCTGTCATACTGTTGTCAGTTTGATTGACAGTGCTGAATTTTTGGCCTTTCCTTCTAGTTATCAGCCCACTGAATGGTGACATCCAGGAGTTTTATTATTTATGTTGTATTTCCATAGTATGGTCTGTCAGTGGAGGCATCAAAGTACATCTTCTAGACTTGCGTGAGCCCTTGGGTGGATGTCCATCATGTAGCAATCATCTTATAAAGTTTTAAAGCTCTTTGACACATGACTTCTTTCTGGCCTCCTCCTCTTCCTTCATGTTTCTCCTTTTGCCCCCTGGCCTGACGTCTGACTCTACATGATCTCTAAATCAGAGTCTTTCTCACCACTGAGCTAATAGCACTTACATTCACAATAACAGTTCAACTTAATATGAACTTGATGCTAAAATTTATATCACAAAAGATCAATGGAATTTGTTTCCAGAAGTTCTAAAAGGTGTCACTAGAAGAAAGCACATTTCTGTATCAGAATAAAAAAATGAAAGGGAAATTGTGACTTTTATACAACTTTTTACTTGTTATTCTAACTTTATACTTTATATGTCATAATGTGATTTTTATTTCTGGTAAATAAAACTTTTGTCTTTTAATTGTAATTTTATATCTCTCCGTGTGATTTTATTTCTCATAATTTGTGACTTTTACTCATAATTGTATGCTTACATCTCACACTGTGACTTTGTTTCTTGGAATTGTAATTTGATGTAGTGTTATTTTATTTTTTGTAAACTTGTATAACTTTTTTTATTATAATTGTTAATTTGTATCTCACTTTGTCACTTTCTGGTAATTGCAACTTTTTTCCTTGTAATTGTAATTTTAAATCTTACAGTGTTACTTAATTTCTCCTAATTGTAATTTCATTTGCAGTCACATACTAAAGTCACCATGCTATTAGTTTGAGACCCGTCCAATTTGGAGAGGGTGGGTAATATGACCTATACTGCAGCCAGCCACCAGGGGACAATCAAAATGGTTTGGGTTCACCTTTCAGGATGCGTGTGGCACACGTGGTTCAAACCTGCAACCTTTTCTTAGACTAGCTATTTTATTAGCATCCTACATCACCTTAAAATGTTTTACAGCGCATGTTTGTTTTTTTGTTTGTTTTTTTTGTAGGGCCCAAGAGTCCAGACTTCATCCCAGAAGTAGGCGAAGATGCAGTGAATGCAGTGCCTTGTTCGCCCTGCATGGCCCTAACTGAGGAAGAGCAAGCAGAGCTTCACAGTGAACTAGCAAAGGTCTGCATATTTCAGTCTTGTTATATTTCAGATTCCAGCCACAAATGCTTCATTCAATGGATGAGATTGTCTCAGGAGCAAATGTGGTTTATTCTCAAGGTGGAACTCATTTTGCAGTGCCTTTTTCTTTACTATTTCAACATATGCTGTATCTTCTAACTGGAGCTTATGGATAAACCCATCAGTGCACTGGATTTTTAATTTTGTTGAATGAGTGTCACCACACTTAACCATATTTTACATGTCAGGTGAATTCTTCTATCCTGTTTCCCTACAGGTAGAAGATGAGATCCAGACACTTTCTCAGGTGCTGGCGGCCAAGGAGAAGCAGGTGGCAGACCTCAAGCGGAAATTGGGCATCAATCCACTCAACGAGTTCAAACAGAACCTGAGCAAAGGCTGGAATGAAGTCACCACCTCCACTGCGTACGTGCCCTTACTCGCCTCAGGCATCTGCGTGCCACCCGTCACCTCTTGTACTGCTGCGGAGGAGCGGCTCCATCTGTCAATGCTTCTGCTGTGCAATTCACACTTGCCATTTGGCTGAATTGCATTAAAGACGTGCAGTTGTGAACGTGCTTGATTTTACTAGCTCACTCCAGCTGTTAGAATTACATGATCTTGTGTTTTACGGTTATGTTGTATACATTTTCTGTACACATCTGTCCCCCATCTGTGCTGGACAGGTATAAGAAGACCTCAGAGACCCTGTCCCAAGTGGGTCAGAAGGCGACGACGGCGTTCTCCAGCGTGGGCTCAGCCATTAGCAGAAAGCTAGAGGACGTGAGGTGAGATTTGAAATTGAACACTTGTCCAAATTATCATCCTTTGATCAAACTATCCTTTGTACCCTTTTGACCTAGTAACACATGAATGAATGAATACTCACTAATACCTATTAATACTGTCTGTTCCAAACCACTCTGGTTACATTCACACAGAGGCAGATTTATTCAACCTTTATTTTACCAGGAATATAAAAACTCTTGAGACTTAAAATCTATTTTACCAGAGTGGCTTTGCCAAGCAGAGGTAATGACACAAAATAAGACACAATACATGAAAACAACACAATTTAACATCACAGTCAACTCAAGCAGCAGCTGTAATTATTGCTCATAACATTTGTAATCAGGTAAACCAGATTTCAGATTTAAAATGATTGTAAATTTCCAAAAAGAATGCACATCACACCTCTGTTTATCAATTTGCACTGGCTACCAGTAGCTGCTCGCATAAAATTCAAGGCATTAATGTTTGCCTACAAAACCACCAGTAGCTCTGCACCCCTTTACCTAAATTCATTACTTCAGACTTATGTGCCCTCTAGAAGCTTGCGTTCTGCAAGTGAACGGCGCATTATTGTGCCATCCCAAAGAAGCACAAAATCACTTTCTCTGACTTTTAAATGAAATGTTCCCTCCTGATGGAATGACCTGCCCAACTCAATCCGAGCAGCTGAGTCCTTAGCCATCTTCAAGAATCGTCTAAAAACACATCTCTTCCATCTTTATTTGACTCTCTATTCTAATTCTATTCTTAAAAAAAACTTGGCCCTTTTAGACTTGAAAAGACTTTTAGACTAAACACACTAGCTTTTCTAATCTTTTTGTATTCTATCTATTTGTTTTCTTTTTATTTATTATACAATTAACAAAAAGCAAAAAAGGCCTCTAACACTAGCTTGCTCTATTCTTTTTCTATTCTATCTGTTTTCTTTTTATTTATTATATAATAAAAAAAAAACCTTGCTATGTGTACTGCGTTAAGCTAACTGAGTCTTGTTATAGCACTTACATATTGCTCTTTTGTTGATTTTGATTGCTTCCATTGTCCTCATTTGTAAGTCGCTTTGGATAAAAGTGTCTGCTAAATGTAATTTCATTTAGCGAATACATTTGTGACTTTTTTGGAGTTCAAAATAGGGCTTTGTTATACGGAATGACTATGAAAAGGAGTGAAGATTGCATTTAATAACCAAAGTGACAATTCGGAAGAGTCACAACTGCATTTTCATAGCAAAATTTGGAAGCTATGTGGTCAGAGAATGAGCCAAAACTCCAGATAAATGTTGGGTGGAGATTTTCATCTGAAAGGATGAGTTGCAGGAATTTCCAAAATTCCAAAGTGGTTAGAATACAAAACTAAACACTTAAAGGGATAGTTTACCAAAAAATGAAACTTCTGTCATCATTTACTCGCTCTCATGTGATTCCAAACCAGTAAGACTTTGATTCACAATTGAAGATATTTTAATGAAACCTGAGGGATTTCTGTCCCTCCATTGAAAGTCCATTCCACCTAGACTTGTATGCTTTAAAAAGTTCATAAAGACATTATAAATGTAATCCATATGAATCAAACTGTTTAATCCAAGTTTTCAGAAGAGATACAATCGCAGACACCATTAAACCTTGAAGCTCAAATGTGCTTGCTTGACTTGTCAGAGAAGCATTTGATAAAGCCACTTGATTGATATGGAATACTTGAATCTCTATGAACTTTTTTGAAGCGTCAAAGTTTTGGTAGAATGCACCTTAAATTAAGGGACAGAAATGTCTGAAGTTTTATTAAAAATATCTTCATTTGTGTTCCAAAGATGAAGATCTTACTGGTTTGGAACAACAATGAGGGTGAATAAATGTTGACTTTAAAGACACAACTGAACATTTTGATATTTGCCATTATTCTATCACTATGTTGATTATTTGACGCTGATATACGATATTCAGTCTGTAGGACATTTTGAGAGTCAAATACATTCGTCGACCCCAAACACAGACTGTGAATGTAGCCATGTGTGATCACCACTTACACATACATGTGCCTTTAGCATAACACTACTGGACAAAATGGCAAAGGACTGAATTGTACTCCCACGCACAGTGGAATTACCAACATTGAGATAGAATAAAACCATTAACCACAGACACCCACATCATACTCTGAAGTCTAAGGAACTGACATTTGCTCAATTTCACCATCTTACGACACTCTTGCTTCAACGCTGGCAACATTGTTAACTGTTTTCGCTAATGACACCTCTGCCATTTACAGATTACAGGGCTTTGTTATACGGAATGACTATGAAAAGGAGTGAAGATTGCATTTAATAACCAAAGTGACAATTCGGAAGAGTCACAACTGCATTTTCATAGCAAAATTTGGAAGCTATGTGGTCAGAGAATGAGCCAAAACTCCAGATAAATGTTGGGTGGAGATTTTCATCTGAAAGGATGAGTTGCAGGAATTTCCAAAATTCCAAAGTGGTTAGAATACAAAACTAAACACTTAAAGGGATAGTTTACCAAAAAATGAAACTTCTGTCATCATTTACTCGCTCTCATGTGATTCCAAACCAGTAAGACTTTGATTCACAATTGAAGATATTTTAATGAAACCTGAGGGATTTCTGTCCCTCCATTGAAAGTCCATTCCACCTAGACTTGTATGCTTTAAAAAGTTCATAAAGACATTATAAATGTAATCCATATGAATCAAACTGTTTAATCCAAGTTTTCAGAAGAGATACAATCGCAGACACCATTAAACCTTGAAGCTCAAATGTGCTTGCTTGACTTGTCAGAGAAGCATTTGATAAAGCCACTTGATTGATATGGAATACTTGAATCTCTATGAACTTTTTTGAAGCGTCAAAGTTTTGGTAGAATGCACCTTAAATTAAGGGACAGAAATGTCTGAAGTTTTATTAAAAATATCTTCATTTGTGTTCCAAAGATGAAGATCTTACTGGTTTGGAACAACAATGAGGGTGAATAAATGTTGACTTTAAAGACACAACTGAACATTTTGATATTTGCCATTATTCTATCACTATGTTGATTATTTGACGCTGATATACGATATTCAGTCTGTAGGACATTTTGAGAGTCAAATACATTCGTCGACCCCAAACACAGACTGTGAATGTAGCCATGTGTGATCACCACTTACACATACATGTGCCTTTAGCATAACACTACTGGACAAAATGGCAAAGGACTGAATTGTACTCCCACGCACAGTGGAATTACCAACATTGAGATAGAATAAAACCATTAACCACAGACACCCACATCATACTCTGAAGTCTAAGGAACTGACATTTGCTCAATTTCACCATCTTACGACACTCTTGCTTCAACGCTGGCAACATTGTTAACTGTTTTCGCTAATGACACCTCTGCCATTTACAGATTACAGTCATTTTCCAATTCTTTTGGGTAAGACTGTTTACAGTGGCTTCAAACAAAAGCTGGTTATTTTGGCTGCTACACCTCTCAGTAGTGTGATGAATGGTTTTATAGTGTGGCATGTACTTAGAGGTAGTGCTATTCTCCCATTTTTTCCACTGTTTCAATGCATGCATACCTTTTCTTCTAAAACCTCTGCCTTTGTGCGTGAATGTACATGTTGAATGGGTATTTGCAATTCAGAGTTTTTTTTTTTTTTTTAAACAGCTCACCTAAAAAAACAAAACAAATTGTCATCATTTACTCCAAACTTGTATGCCTGTTTTACTTCTGATTTTTTGTCCATATAATAAAAGTTATTGCATGGATAAAAAAACGCATTACAAAATCTTATTTTGTGTTTAGCAGAAAAACAGTCATACAAGGTTTGGCATAAATGATGACAACTGTAATTTTTGGGTGTACTATACCTGTAACTTAAAAGCATTGTGCAAACGATTTTGTCATTTTGAGTCAATAAGATAATTTCCCATCAGTCTTATGCTAGGTTTTCTGATTTCCCTCCTGCTTTCTGTCTAAAAAGCAGCGTCATCTCTCATTATTTCTCAACATTCTTCATAGTATACCTGCTTGTGTCCCACACAAATATATAGATTTTCTGGCTGTCGCTCTGCTGAACATATCATCCCCTCTGACAGTGATGCAGACGTGCTTAAACCCTGTTTATTCCCTGCTAATTCTCTTACACACCCTATTCATCCAAACGGCATCCCAGCTGTGGTGTGAATCCGTGTCAGTGATACCGGTAATAAAGTCTTAAACCCCTGATGGATTAAAGCCTTATACTCTTACTCAGTTTCACACAGCATGAAGGGCTGAGGTGTTTTTTCATGCTGATTATGAACTCATAAATGTGTGTAGGTGCATGGCTTTATTTCCCCTCTTCTAATGCGTCTGATACTCACGGCTTTGGCTAACTCCTGTCTGCTCTTCTTTACTGCTGACGGATAGTATACGCTCCATACAGCATTCGGCTAGCATGCCGGTGATGAGGTAAGAATTAGTTCTGATAGACTCACATTAGCCTCTATATTTTACAGGAATACTTGTTTTTGATTGGTCAGTTGTGGCATTCTGTGGGCAAATATTTTTGTATAAGGACTGATGCTAGTTTTCTTTCTCTCGTTTCACTCCGTGGTCTCTTTTTTTTTTTTTTTTCTTCCTCATATTTTAAAATAAATTAATCTTAAACCAGTATTTAAAGGTATAGTTCATCCAAAAATGAAAATGCTGTTATTAATTACTCACCCTCATGTCATTCCAAACCTGTTAGACCTTTGTTCATCTTCAGAACACAAATTGAGATATTTTTGATGAAATCCGAGAGCTCTCTGCATAGACAGCAACACAACTGACACATTCAAGGCCCGAGAAAGGTAGTAAGGACATTGTTAAAATAGTCAGTGGTTCAACCATAACCTTATGAAGCTATGAGAATACTTTTGCTTGCAAAGAAAACACAAAATGTATTCTTGTGGCTTCATAAAATTACGGTTGAACCACTGAGGTCACATGGACTATTTTAATAATGCCTTTACTACCTTTCTGGGCCTTGAATGTGTCAGTTGTGTTGCTGTCTATGGAGGGTCAGTAAGCTCATCAAAAATATCTTAATTTGTGTTCTGAATATGAACGAGCGTCTTACAGGTTTGAAACTTCCTGCGGGTGAGTAATTAATGACAGAATTTAAATTTTTGCGTGAACTATCCCTTTATTGTCGATTTATTCAATAAGAGATTCATCAATGTCTACAGTTCATTGTAACAGTCTTGTCTTTAGCATGTTGCTAAGCTAACTCTATACAAATAAGCATTTCAAAGAAAATAAAACATTCATTTGACATATTTCTCTCTTCAGTAATGATTAAAATATATGTATACTCAACATTTGCTAGCTCGCTAGGTTTTGGAGCACAGCTATAGCAGATGAATTAGCAAATCATTTGATATACCGACACCCTTTTTTGCACCATATCGATTGTGAAGTGTGAAGATTCAGTCTGTTTTACATCGTTATCATGTCTCTTGCAGAAACACACCCACTTTCAAGTCATTTGAGGAGAAAGTGGAAACCTTAAAGGTAAAGCAACACTGATTATATCAACACTGCTTGTGAGGTAAATAAAAACTCCCAACCTCGTTTCTGACTTAATAGACCAAGATGAGCCCGACGCCATCGACAGGCGATACTGAAGAGGTTTCGGAATCCACACCTGATGGAGAGCCAGTGGCTGAACACCCAGAGGGAACTTGTCCACCAGATCAAAAAACGCACTGAGGATCCTCCCTCAAAACGCTCCCCTCTTTCTCCTCCTGACCTCCTGTCCCTCTTCTTCCACTTCACAGCAGTACTTCTACATAGTCACAGTGAGCTTTGTTCTGTGGCCATATTTTTCCACTGTAGTCTGGGTCATCTCCAGACGGGACGTGGTAGTCCTACACTGGAACAGATGTGTCAGAATGTGAGATGCATGTTCACTCGTGCACTGTCAGAGCAAGATATTACTCATTCAACTGCAGCATTGACCTCTGACCCCTAACTTCAGGTTTGCCTACATGAGAGGCTCAGGCTGTCCTTTAGAAGTCCCTAAATGTTTCTTTTTACACGTTTAAAGAAAATATCCTAAAGTCTTTATATATAGTTTAAATATGTAATTGAATTTGACTTTTTGTTTGTGTACATTCTCTGTAACACATCCCACTACTTAAAATTGCCAGCCAAATTAACCAAAATTCTCTGTGTATATAGTTCCTTTTTCCATTTTTAAAACAAATGCCAAAAACTCAGAACATGAGTTCTGTCTCTAAGTGTATACGTTAAACTAAAAGATTTTTGCATAGAAAGTATATTGAGTTTATTATTAGCATTAATATCAAATATGATCAAACAGTAGTGATGTTACACTATTACTCTATTTCTATATTTTGGATTCTTGATTAGCTTTAGAGAGTTTGTGTCATTAAATGAGCAGCCTTGAGCGTACGTGCTTTGCGACTTAATTTCTCTTTATTTTGTAGCGTTAGTATAGTCACACCACTGAGATCCCAGTGCCTTCTGTTTCCTAAAACTGAGGAGGTTTAATCTCACTTTAAAGGTGTTTCTGATGGCTTTGTAATTTGACCACTGCTGCATTTCTTTCTTTCTTTTTTTACCCAGAAAACGGGACAAACTATGAGAGGGACAGATGTCATAGTCTCCTAGACTATATGACACTTCTTCCCTGTTGTTTTAAACTCTCTAACACAGCTGAAAAGCAGTGTTAATGTTAAACCGTTAGCCTTAGATCCAGTGCAACTCAGTAATATTTATAAGCACTAATTCTAGTATTTGTGTAGTTCATGGAGCCGCTTACACTGGCCTTGAGCGTACGTGCTTTGCGACTTAATTTCTCTTTATTTTGTAGCGTTAGTATAGTCACACCACTGAGATCCCAGTGCCTTCTGTTTCCTAAAACTGAGGAGGTTTAATCTCACTTTAAAGGTGTTTCTGATGGCTTTGTAATTTGACCACTGCTGCATTTCTTTCTTTCTTTTTTTACCCAGAAAACGGGACAAACTATGAGAGGGACAGATGTCATAGTCTCCTAGACTATATGACACTTCTTCCCTGTTGTTTTAAACTCTCTAACACAGCTGAAAAGCAGTGTTAATGTTAAACCGTTAGCCTTAGATCCAGTGCAACTCAGTAATATTTATAAGCACTAATTCTAGTATTTGTGTAGTTCATGGAGCCGCTTACACTGTAGTACCTGCTGTTGTGGCATCTTCAAGACTGCAAAATTAAAAAAATATTTGTATTGATATTGTTAGCAGAGTGTAGATAAAATCTAATAACATTTATGATAGGGTAGAGGTTGCTAAAGGCTTTGAAGCACAGGGGCGATGGTACTTAACTGGCAGATGTGTTCTCATATGGTAAGATTTCATTATTGCTTCATAATTTGAGTGTGCTTTTCCTTTTGTGTTTTGCTTTGATATACAGAGATAAGCAAATGTTTTATGCTTGGTGCTGCAAAAAATATTCAGTATAAAGACGTTTACAGAGGTTTAAGTTCAACATGTCTGATCAGTCACTCTAGATCTAGTGTTGACATCTAAAACAAATAATACTAATGTGGAAAATATGGAATATTGTTAGGAGGTATCTGTTTAAAACAAAAGTTTTATATGTGTTTTGTGTTGTGACATACTACATGGACGGTGGAAATCTCCAGTGGGACCAAAAAAAGCTTTAATTTATCCCCCGTCTGCCTCACTCCAGTCATACTGTAGCTCTGGTGTTGTTTCTTTCTTCTTTCCTCACATCATCTTTTGAATATTAATGTTGCTTTATACTGAATGTCTAGTGGGCTTTTGTCTTGGGTTACTAGTGTAGTTGTTGAATCTGCTGTTATGTTCATTTATAATTAGCATCCTGAAAGACCAAAACTACTTTGAGCAAAAAATACAAACATTTGTTCATTTGTATGTCTGATGCCTAATAAAGCACATTACATCCTGTCTTTGTCCAGCAGACATTCTTTGAAATGTTGCAGGAAGTCAATACAGCTGTATAACCGCTACAGAACACTAGATGGCACCCTAATGTTTACTTTCTCAAGGTGACTTATACGTCAACATAATTGTTTAATGTTGGGGAAAAAATTGGTTTAATGTAACAAATTAATTTTATAGGGCCGTCAATGTTTGTTATTAAATTATAATGTAGTGTATGGAAATGAGTCGTATATATAATTACTAGCTGAGAAACCCTCCTAAATGAACACAATTAAGACATTACACTGTTGTCATATATTGAATGTAAAAAGTGGCTCTAGAAACAGTATGTTTGTTATTTTCAAGTCAACTTCTGGCCCACAGTCCTCAGCAATGCATTTAATTATGTTCACACAGGACGTGTCCATGTAGTATTAACGTGCTAAATTTAGCATTTTTACAGTATGTGGGGGTTACATTTTTAATAAATGTATGGGCAAATAATAATTAAGAGATCTATGATTGTTTCGCGCGAACCGTTTCCCATACGGTATGTCCAAACAGTTATATTCATACATAATATCCTAAAGGCTATTTTAATTAGTCTTTGACTTGGAGAGAAAAATGTCTACCATAGGGTCTGCAAACACTCAAAAACTTGAAAGCTTTGTGTGCTTTTCTGTTACTAAACACAGTATGACCCAAGGCTGCTAATTAGCTCTTAACAATTCAGTCTGCAACCTATTATAATCAAGCCCAGTTTCTGAAATAAGCACATTACTCCATGTTACAGTTAGATTAATAAATACACACCACCAGACATTATAGTAAACAGCTGCCGAAAAAAATCGTCTTTATTTTTCCATGACCGTTAACCAGGAGCTCATCTGAACACAGGCACCTTGGAAAGGTCTTTACACCAAAGAAAACAACAACAGCGGCACCAACGAGCACCACAACATTGTCACCGTAGCACAATTACAATGGCAGTTTCTATTTACACACAGCTCATAGTAAAAACTAGTACAGCCAGCAAGTGAGATAGATCATAATAACAGTCACCAAGTGTTTTCTCCCTCAGGAGGAAGGAGATTAAAATCTATTGAACTTTGGGGAAACGAGGAGAAACAAACCGGTGCAATTAGATAAAACAGTATAAGACATTGTACATAAAGCAAGTGCTTTCAGTTAATGTATTGCGATATTTTATATCAAGTCCAGATAATGAAATATCATCAGCTTCCTCTATCCAGACTAGTGCGAGTAAATGCGAGCGGTGTAAATATAATTTCTTTCCGTCTATTATGAGTTATATTTGTCAGGTGTTGCCGCATAAACCTGTGCACTAAAGCATAAAATTGCATAATTGTATCCGAGTGAACACTGACTAGACACTCACAATGACAAAATATAGTGGCACGAAGCCTTAAAAATATCCTCTAATTAAGGCCCTCCTTTCTGCTGATACTTGACACCGTTAAACAATTGGGCTACATTTCTTTTCATTCCATTAGTTAATTGAACAGCCTTCAGCAGCAATTGTCGTGATTACGAAAACCCTCTGAACCTCTGAAACCTGCGCCTCGCATCTTTCTGCACTGCATTATGATGGGTTTACAGAGATGAAAAGCTCGAGGAAGCCCGTGAGGTCAAAGCCACGCTAGGATTACGCACGTGAGCCTGAGAACGAACGGCGGGAAACGTCACTGCGACGCACTCAGCTTGAGCTGGCACGCTGCGTCTGTATTAAACCCGGGATGAATGTTATTAATGTCGAGAAAGGCCGCTCATTTATCTCATCACCTCAAATACAGGTAAGTGTGTGTCAGGCGACATCTACATCGCCTATAGACGCGGATAAACAACACTTTAGCGTTTTAATAAGGGGCAGTTCACACCAAACGCGGTTTTGGCTTTAAAAACGCGCGGGAAGGAGAGCTGAGGAATAGAAAATAACGCCATTTTCAATGTGCGCTACTTTTCATTTGTTTTCCAGTGTAAAAATTTGCGACACTGACGCCCTTGACCATTACGCAGTGTTTCAAAACTCTGTGTTCTTTTACATTTCTTTGGGCCTTCTCTAGCGTTTTTGAACGCCATAACCCGTTCTGTGTGAATGGCCCTTAAATGTGCAGTCACATTTAGCTTTGTAGGTGAAATTCTGGCGGCAAAATGCAGCCATGTCACTAGCAATCCAAGCATTTAGGAATATAGTGTGGGGGATGCGTCAGGTGAAAAATGTTCTCTAGCGAATTTTACATCAGATTCTAGTTTGTTGAACTGTTAACACAAATTTTACGCGTTTACCAATATAAAGCTGCTTGGTTTGGAAGTGACCTCTGAGTTAATGGCACTACTTACAAATTACCTTCTTTGCCCGCAAAAATTCACCAAAGTTTCGCAAATGTGAATGCACCTTAAAACTTTATTATTGTGTCATTTTAAGTGACATTTATACAGAGTATTTGCTATTTGCTGTGATATATCGCGTCTAATTTGAGAAATAGTCTTTGGGTTTCTTGAATTTGAACCTTGGTAACAAATTCAACTGTAGGCCTAATCCTCAGTTCGTTAGTGCTAATGTCACAAAGTTATATGCATAATATGGTACAATCAAGTCTTTCTTTCTTTTTTTTTTTTTTTTAAACCTGCCAAATTCAAGGGTGTCCCTCTTCAGGATAACAATATTTTATTTTATAAGCATATAAATATACCATCCATTTATTCATAGCTACATTCATAGCTATTGCATCTACAATAAAATCTGTCCCCCATCAATGACTTTATCCCTCACATTGGCATAGAGACATTAAGTACCTTCTTCAATGAACAGCTTCAATATACATGTAGTCAGTGTGCAATAATGAATAATACACAGTTATTGAATATAGTCTAGACATTGCTTACTGGTCAAAATAATAATTTTGGTAAATGGCATGGGTCACCCAAACACACCTCTTTTCCTTTATGGCTTTACGACTCAACTGCTGCATTTTTTTTTTTTCTGCTAGCAGCGGCATGAAAGATGAAGACATCCTGAGTTTTCCCTTTTTCTCTTTACACAGTAGAGTTCCATCATGTGCACAAGGCATCAGATGCCTGTTCTTAACATCAAACAATACTTGTAAAATCAGGAATGTCAAAAGAACAGACAATGGGACAGAAATGTGTGAACCAAAAATAAAAAAAGCACAATTTGGGCTGACTACATTGGTCCTTGAGATGAACTGGTCCTCTCTTTTAGATCATTTCTAAGTGCTTATTTAGTATCCGTCAGGCGTTTGTTATTATCGCCTGTGCTACGATAGTCAGAAGCTGGTTCTTTTATCATCAGCATCTGTTTGTTTTTATGGCAGCCCCCCCCCATAAAGCCCAGACCCAGTGGAATGACTGCAGAATGTGGCAGTTTCTATCAGCGCTTCGGCCAATCAGAGTCAAGCGCTCTCTCTTAAAGTGATAGTTCACTCAAAAATAAAAATGGTAATTTACTCACTCCCACGTTGTCATAAATCTGTATGACTTTGTTTTTACTTGGAACACAATAAGAGATGTTTTAAAAAGTTCATGCTGCTTTTTTCCATACAAAACAGCTTATAGTAGTGGTTCTCAACATTTAAGGCCCCGTTATCCACACTATTTATTTTTTGGGGGGTTTTAAAAATGTGCCCTTTGTGTCAGAACATAGCATGTAAATGGGCGACTATGAAAAGACGCTGAAATCACATGATGAAAATGAGTACATTTTCAGAGGAAGTGGATTTTGCATGTCATTCCTATAGTAACAGCAGCCTGCCTGCCCTGTGCCTGTTTTTACAGATAAAACATCACAAACAACATTCATAAATTCAGATCATATTTTTGTTTGTTTTCTTCGGCATGCACATGCAGTATTAAAAAATACAGTTAGATCAGCAAATACTTGAAAAAGTGTAAAAATCCAGTGCGACAGTCTTTGAGTTCTTGAGGTTAGCATGGTTCTTGATTGACAAAGGTCAGCAATGAGATAATCCATTCAGAGTACTGAGCCTACATTCCCATGTCGTCTTTTGGCATCTTATTTTCAAGATGCAAAGCGACTTGTTTAGGATTTTTGGATGGGTTATGTGTTTTTTTTTTTTTTTTTTTTCACAATAAAAAGGCTTGAGACAAATGCGTTACATTATGTCCTGCTTATTCTCTGTGATCTTTTGAGATAGGGCTGCATGATTAATCAAAATTAAAACCCAAATCGTGAAATGGCTTAATGCAATAATCAAATCACAAAGGCTGCGATTTCATTTAATAAATATATGCAAAGCGTGTTTTAGACAGAAAAAACACGTGTGTGTTCGTTTACACATGAGCAGCTCATAATCTGGTGTTTTCAGTGTCGCAGTAAACACTGCTCCACATAAACATCTCTGGATCTACTAGCTTGAGTTGTTTATAATGTGCATTTGTTAAATCAATATGCAACTAACATAATTTTGTAATGACAAACATGCACAGAATTTTTTTTTCCCCCACATCATGCAGCCCTACTTTGAGAGACATGATGGAAACATAAATCGGTATCTGGATCCGACCAAGCTTGCGATTCATAATGCTAAGATCTTCTGTGCATGGTCCTATCTATTAGGCTGTTGTTTTAGTCTCTGACAATAATGGATGATCTCACTGTTTAAGCATCTTGTAAGAAAAACGCACCCCAGTTCTTAAAATGCAGCCGTATTTAACAAACCCCTGTTTGAAATGTTGATTAAATGTTTCCTGCTGCGTTTCAAAAATGGGAGATGAAAACAACGAGACAAAAACAACTATGATATTGTAGCTAAAAATCATTTACAAAGCACAACTGGGAAAAGACCCCCCCCCTCACCCCTCAAGCTTCAAATTCATCCAAAGACTCTTTGAGCAGAAAAAAAGCAAGAGCTAGTCCTCAAATCAGTAAAAAAAGGGCCTCCACTCCCACATGTTTAAATCCAGACAAAATGATGAACTCAGACAAGCCGACACCAGAAACATTCCTTTGCTTTTCTGTGCATCTCCATGCACAATCTCAGACCTCACCAAGGCACAGTCAGACTCCTATATATTCTCATACAAATACATTCCTGAAAACGGTCAGAGGGACTGGCACCCTCCACGGAAAACAAAAATCAAACCTCTCAGGGCCCCTCTCCACCTAGGATAGACATGACCTGATCATATACCATGGAAACCCGGCAGCTATTTATCGGTAGTATGCATTGCAGAATGCCAATACTGTCCAATGACAGCAGAGATTACAAGCCCTCTAAAAGAGTAAGTTCCATCCTGATGATGCTGTTTCATAACAAAAAGATTTAAATGTGCAGTCTGGAATGTTCCTCTCGACTACAGCCTCTTTTTTTGCAGACTCAGTCCCGTCAACGGCCTCTACTCGTTCTTGTTGTTTGTGGCTCGACACAAACACACAAGTTATGTAAGTAGACTACTGAGTGGCCCATCTGCCATCTGGCTATAGCTGAGTGGCGGTTTGGAGTTACACAAACGATTCAGTCTACTCAAAGACAGTCAGATTGGGTCAGTCTGACATGGGATATGCACACCCACTCTAAACATCTGCACAGATCCAACACTAATACCAACCAAAGACATATGGGTATTCGATTAACATCGCACTACATTGATGCGTGGGAAAAGAGATGGCAAGACTTTTCTGCATCTTTTAAAGCGGCTAAACTAGCGTGTTAAACTCTGGAGCTGGTGAAAGTTCAGAACGGGAAGCATCTTAATCTGTTCCCTAGGATCTGTACACCGGTGTGTTAAAGTAGCTTAGACTATCGATCAAAACGGTTACACATTTTGAGTAATATAATAGCATTATTAGTTCTTGATGTTAATTACCTATACGGTATGTTCACACAGAACCAGAGAAGACTACTTAGGCTAAAGACAGCTAACACCTCGGCATCCTGCTGGATCTGAACAATAAAAGCTTTGTACTGCATTACTATGAGACATGGACCCAAGTAGGTGTTCATGAGCAGCACTAGTCCTAAATACTGTTTACCAGGTAGCTTATATAAGTATTGTAGGTACATTATAAACTGTTTAACCTGTGTACGAATTTGGCGATAAAGAAAGTAAATATTGAAAACACGCCATACTCATGTTGCAGCTTGATATGCACCATGTGTCTGTTAAATTACATGTTGTACAACAAAACAAAGGCCTGTGCACAAGAAAACTAGCACCCCTAATGAACACGAGTAATGCGCCGTGGCCTAGCTAACAAAACTGCAGCCAATATATAAGCACCATGGTGACAGGTGTGTGAAACATCATTAGAAACCAAATGCACCGTGATCTTAACTTCACATAACAGCTTATCCGAGGCAAGAGCATATTTTTAGGTAACATTTAGAAATATATTCCCACTTCCTAAAAGTCTCATTTGTAGGAAACGTGATGGAAAGAGTTTCCCCAAGTATATACTGAATGTAAACAACTGTAGACATCAGCTTGCCCTCTTACGTAAAACGCCTGTGAGATCTCTTAGACCAGTGAATCTCAACCTTTTGGCGTACCGGACCCCAGTCCAATTCAGAACCATCCTCAAGGACCCCAGAACAAAATTGACTCGTATCATTTGTGTCTTTGTGAGGACCAAATGCAGTCAAGTATAATTCAAGTTAGCTGACTTGTCCAGTATTTGGCCATATCATCAGCTATATTGGAATTTTCTTTCATGGGAACATGTCATGTCAAAATATACAAAATGTATACAAAAATTCATACTTTATACGGACCCCCTGGCCTTATGTCAAGGACCACTAGGGGTCCACGGACCCCTGGTTGAGAAACACTGTCTTAGACCATTTGGTAGCACCAGGAAGGGAATGGAGGGACAAGCAGCAGCCTCTGAGATGTTCCTCACACCAGCGGAGGGGCCAAAATATGCAACTATTAATTATTGAAACTCAACTTCATCTCTGGCATGAGATCACAAAAAGTTTCAATAAGCATTCGAGTAAAATTGGAGTGCTAGAGCCCATGGGTGCTGGTGTGCGGCTTCAGCATAGCTGTGCTTTCACAAACAGGTTGCCTCCAGTCATACGGAAAGACGCAAGGCCCTGGAGACCTTTTCCTTGCAAGATCTGTTGAATCGTGTCAACAGAAAGTGAGAAAAAGGAAAATTATAGATCAAAATGCAGAAACGGTCATGAACTCTTGGTCGTTTCTGGATTTTCTTTTTTTCTATTAAGACACTAAACCAGTGGCAGTTTTAAAGTGTTTTCTTGGAGATGTTATTTAAATGCATATTCATTTTACATGGATCTTAATTATAGATTCACATTTAAAATGCCTTTAGTTTTTTTCTGTTCGTGTAGTATCTGGCTTTATTCACACAGGCAGCAAAATTCAGATTTTATTTTATTTTTTTTGGTCAATCCATTGAGTTTTTTGTAGTCTGAATTCATGAAAAACCACATAAAACAAACCAGATCCAAACCACATCCATTTTTGGTGTGAAATTACATTAAATTAAAATCCATTTCTCACCATATCAAGTTTTTTTTTGTATTCTGAATTGCAGAAGACCACAGGAAATCTGATGTTTATGAACCAGATCCAAACCACATCCATACCAGGTCATCAGATCATATTTCTTTAATGCATCTTAGTGTGAATCAGAATCAGATTCCAAGTAGTCTACTGTACTTTTAGATGTTTATGAGTCGCTTTTAATCGCTTGTCAGGATGATGGTTATAGCATTCGTAAATAATCCATGTGGAGACATAGGATATTGACTACATTGTACAAACAAATGGATCTAATAATTGAAATCGGATTTGAAACCAAATCTGATTTATGTGCAGTGTGAACAAAGCCATTCTACCAATAAAACCAAGTGTTACGCTGGGCATAAAACATTTTGTTTGGGGGGTTTAATACTATATACCTTATCTATATACACATATCGACAGTAAGTGAAAGGGAAACAGTGTGATGAACAAAACAGATACAGACAATGAGTTGATCACAATAAGCATTGTTTGCAGGTTTATGATGAGTTAACTAGCTTGTGTTGATGTTACGTAGACGATATCATATTAGACTGTATCAGAGCCACCAAAACAGTTCCAGATTACAATTGCCAACGAGCTGCCATATTCCTTAAGAGCCAAACCAAGTGTTGACGTCTTGGGACAATTTTTCTGGTCATCCTTTGCAAAGAAGCCCATCGTGAAAACACGTCCATCCTCCTGTGACCAGTGTTCTGCTGTGTTACACGATACTGTACCAACTACAGAAGAATAACACCACCACATCTGAGTGCTTCCAGCTCCTGTGCTGGAGTAGATGTGGCATTTGCTATTTTTATTACTTCCTACTTGAACCTGTGAGGTCAGGAAAAAGGTGAGAGGTAAAGAGCTCTTCACCTTTCAGAGGTAAAATTAACCACTTTGCAGAGTTTTCTTTACTTGGGCATGTTGGTTGAACCTCTCTAGGCAACAGACTGTGGCATGAAACCACCACGGTTCATATATGGCTCTAATATGAATGCAGTTCGTTCCTGCAGATGAAGTCCGATGGGAAGGAGAGGTTGCCTGAATGGCTGGTTCTTGCGATCGCTAACTTTGATGCAAGTCTGTGCCGTTGGGTTTTAATAATTGCAGTCTTTGTACTTCATTCTGTTGAAGTCAGTTGCAAAGCAAAAAAAAAAAAAAAAAAGAAAAGAAAATGGCACGTAAAAAAAAACCTTTTTGGTAGCAAGAAGGTATTCCTGTGACAGAAAGCACTGAGTTCTTGGATGTTAATTCTAACTGCTGGTTTAGCTTTTACTGATCGCATCCCTGAAAGAAATGTCCTACTGGTGAACGCAAATATAAAACCAGAGATATAAAATCCGTCCTTCGTAGGTGCAATTGCTTGTGTCAGCATGAATGAAAGGGGGAGCTGAAAGTCCTTCTCTTCCCTTATTTTTTTTGCATCGAGGAATTTCCATTCAGGGGAGCTGTCCAGTCAACATCCCAAAACAAACCCCTGTGGTGGTACATTCTTGAGAAGATAGGGTTTTCTAGCTGTCCAACCCTTAACCTTTAGTAAAATGGGCAGGAGAAATGTGAAAATGTGCCCATGGAAAAAGAAACACTTCTCCAGTTGGGTTTTTTATAGCACTTACACAGTCTGAAAGAGAGCTTTCTTCTCTTTTAAAAAGAGCATGGACAGAGGCTGGTCTTGCCCTGACTGGTCCTTTAGGAACTGACAAGAATGTTTTTAAGCAGTATACTGAACACAAACAAAAAGATCGATCACAAGTCTTTTTTTATTTTTGCAGTGTAAAGCAACTCGCCTCAAAGGGAGAGTTGGAAATCTGCAAAGATTGGGAGTGCGTCCGTTGGTTTAGGAGGGAATGCATAAGGATTTGACCCTCAAAGTCCATGTGGGTTTAAGGTGAAGCAGGGTGGGGCTGTGGTCAGCAAGAAAGAGAAGGGACGCATTTCATTATGCTATACATGCAAAGGAAGCCCACCCTGTTTTTGTGTGTAAGCCGTCGCAGCTGTTTCAGTCAACAAATCTCTGGCAGGCTTTCTTCCAGCGGCAGGCTGTGCACCACATGTCTCTGTTTTCCATGCCGTACACCTTACGACACTTCTTTCCCTCGCCTCGTGACTTCCTACTGCACAGCGCATGACACAAAACACAAAAAACGGTTTTACTAAAAAAATTTAAACATACAAAAGTAAACATTTTATAAAAAAAATATGTACTTCCATAATTAAAATTGGATTAAATAATTTGTTATTGCTGGATCATATTGTGCCTGGAGCTCTAAATCTAAATGTAAAAATAGAAATAAATGAGCATTCATAATTAAATATACAATATCAACCAACTGCGATAAGTTTAAAAACTATCTAATATCTGATAACCAATATGGTACCTTTCAGTATCTAAATATGATCCTACAGCCTATTATAGGGCACTATGATTTCCGCGATGTTGACAACGCGGACAGAATCGTGGAATCCAATCAAAATATGGAATTTACTGTATGTTCTACTGTGTGTCTGTTCTAATGCGGAATGTCATGGAATTTCCAAAAAAATCAAAAGTAGGTCAGTACACTTAAATCAAAACGCAATACACCAAAATACTATTTAAATATGAATCCTGCACATTCTTTATAATTCTGATTATTAAAATTTAATGAAAACATTAAAATGGAATCCAGAAAATTAAATGAAAACCTAATAAAAATAACCTGGTAAAAATAAAACTGAATTTGAGAAAAAAAACATTTCATAGGGCCTTAAAAATGTAAAAAAAAAAAATAAAAAAAAAAATTTGTTAAACTTTTAAATACACTGTTGTTAATTATTGTACATTTAAATATTGTAATTTAAATTAATTATGCATGCATTTTGATTAATAAAATGTAATTTAACCATTAAAACAGAGTCTAGTAAAATTAAAATGGAAAAAACGGAGTCCTGACAAATTAAAACAGAATTTTGGGATTTCATAGGGCCCTACTATTAATACAACACCACTGGGTTTATGGACTTTTCACATGCTTCTGGCATCATACCAAGTAAGCAGAGAGCAGAACTTATTGATTGTACTTTTCCACACTACTTAAAGAGTTTATGATGTGCGACTAGATTCTGGACACTCATAAAATGTGTAAGAATGTCCCTTACAGGAGCCACACCTCTAGCTTTCATCAGGTCGAACCATTTTACACAGCCTTTGCTTTACTATGCTCATTTCTTCTGATGTGAAAGTCTTAATTTAAGACTGAAAGGAAGTGTAGTTAAGACTACCTGAGTGAGCCTGCGGCTCTGGGGGGAGAGGAGAGCACTGCAATGGTCTGAGAGCGCTGCTCCCCAAAGCCCTGCGTCCGGCTGTGAGTGGGAGAGGCCTGCAGTCAGACAGAGAGAGAGTTAACATCCCTCACACAAGGCCAAAGACATCATTCATCCATTTCCTGTCATAAAAATCTCAACGCACAATTTATAGAGACACTGAGCATAAAATTCAGTCTGTTCAGCTTGTTTTGGGAGCGTTTGTGTATTCGGTTATGTATCAGTGTTGAGATACTTGTTAGACTGACTCACATCTCACAGTTGTGTTTGCACATTTGAGTTACATGACATCACTGACATCAAATTAGAGGCCAAACTGTGGTAGATCAGTAGACGATTATGAAACACAATCGGTCAGGACTCTACTGTGTGTGTGTATAAAGGGACAGTCTATTGCAAGGCACACTGTAGTTCAGTGTGTGCATGTGTGTGATGGGCACAGGAACGTGTGTGTGTCTATGTGGGTGTACTCACAGAGGTGCCAGTAAATGTGACGGGTGGGGACTGCCAGGAGATACTGAAACTGCTGCTGGAGGGGGTGAAGCCAGTGGAGCTGGCAGAGGGGATGGTGACAGGGGCTGTGGCCTGTGGAGTGACAGTCACACTGATATACAGTAGTCTCTACGGGCCTGCGATTATGACTGGGCTGTATGTGCATATGTAATAACCACTTTGACAGCATCTAGTATTCAAAAAATAGGCTTTCCTTCATTGGTCAATTCAAAGCTATGTGACAGTTCAGTATAGGTTTTACAAACATTGTTTAACAGGGTTATTTAACAGGGTTATTATATATTTTATTAATTTCAAGCGTTGGTTTACAAATTCAGTTTTTAGTTTTAATCATGCAATTTTTAAAAAATGTAATAAGTTTTAATTTGAATTCTTTTTTAACTGTACATAGTCAAATTTATTTCAAATGTATATATTAAAAAATTGTTCTCACAAGTTTCCGTTAACAAAAATAACCTTGATCTGAGTCTTTTTTGTTCCACATGTTGAGCCATTGTCTTTGTACACTACCATTCAATTATTCAGCAAGGATGCATTAAATTTATCAAATATAATAAAGACATTTATAATGTTACAAAAGATTTCTATTTAAATTAAATGCTGTTCTTTTTAACTTCCTATTCATCAAAGACTTAAGAAAATTGTATCATGGTTTCCACAAAAAAATTAAGTAAAACAGCTGTTATGGGAATGTTTCTTGAGCAGCAAATCAGCATATATGAATGATTTCTGAAGGATCATGTGACACTGAAGACTGGAGTAATGATGCTGAAAATTCAGATTTAACATCACAGGAATAAATTATATTTTAAAATGTATTAAAATAGAAAACAATTATTTTAAAATGTAATAATATTTCACAATATTACTATTTCTTATGTATTTTGATTAAATAAATGTAGAAGACCCCAAACTTCTGAATGGTAGTGTATGTGATCCCATTAATAGGAACATAATCTTATCATAATTCTCCTCACGTGTGACCTTTTCATGCTTTATATTGTGACTGAAGGGTGTCTCTATGCACAGCTTGACCTGTTGAATCTGTCTTCATATCGAGAGGACTTTCTGATATCAAATGTCCTGCTCGCTTTCTGAAATTGCATTGAAATACTAGGTCATATCCATATTGTATTTGTCTAGTAGTTGTGTTCTGAGAGCATCAGAGTGAATCTCTGAAGTGATGTAATGTTATGTAAATGATGTGCATAGCTCATCGTGATTGGTTGGGCTGTACCTGGTAGGCATGGTCTGTGTGCACTAGGTAGAGTGCGCTGGGAGCAGAGCGGCTGAGAGGGGTGGTGGTGCTGTTCTCGCTCTTTGCTCCATTAGTGCCATCCGGCTGTCTCTGGTCCAAACCCGGCAGGGGGGACAGCACAGACGGGGACACAGGAGACAGACTGCTCAAACCGTCCGCCACAGAGTCGGTGTTCAGTTTGATCTCAGTGTAGTAGAAATCCTCCTCTCCATCACTGCACTCTGAGTCACAGTTCCTACTGAAGAGAGACAAACCAAAGAAACATTTTAATATTGACACTGTGATTTGCTTTCATTTAATGTGCACAACTATTATAACTTATTTACAGTTCTGCACGACAGTACGACAATAATACAGCACTATACTTTACTGTCATATTTTACAGTCATACAAAGGTAAATCACTATTTCAACACGATACTGAGAAAAATGACTTTTTAAATACATTTTGACTGATTTGCATATTTTAATAATTAATTTTAATTTAATATTTTAAGAATTAATAATTTAATACAATTTAATATACAACCAAACCTGCCATAGTCTGAGACTGATTTCATAACTACCATAGTAAGATTTTGTACAACATTATACTTCACATACCATAATTGGACATATCATACTTGATATGTACTTGATATGTTGAATGTTTTAACGGTCACTTAATGCATAACTGTTAGTTTCTCATGTCCTTCTACTGAACCATATTTCTGAAAGATGAGATCTTCTTAGAAATCCTCCCGGTATCTTCCAGCAGTACTGACACTTGCACAGGTTTAATTGGACTTCAGCTGAGAGAAACATAAACCTTCCTTCACAATTGTCTGGCTTTCACTGTCATTACTTTGTGCCCAGCAGTAATAGTGTAAGCGTGGTGATAATCCTGCTGGAATTAGTCTCATGTTTTGACATTGAATCAGGAGCAGGCTGCAGTCTCTTATCTCTCACTATAGGCTATCCAGAGTTCACGGTGACGGATGTCAGCCAAGAGATGGGGTAACACCATAAAAATGTGAATGGGTTTCTGTCTGATGAGAAACGTAGTTTGGAAAAAAAATTTTTTAGTAATAAATGTGAATGTTAAAGAAATCTTAAAGGGGTCATATGATGCTTTTTTTAAAGATCATTATAGCCGTTTTAAGGGGGTGTGGCAGAGTCTTAACTTTGATAAAGAATATCTCTTTGGTTTTGAGACTTTAGTCTTTGCAACTTCAGGGATCTTATCTATTCACAATCAGCTTGTAACACTCCAAAGAGAAAGGAAAACTTGAAATCGCATCATATGACCCCTTTAAGTCTTTTTTTGTATGCACATGCTGATGTATTGGGTTTATTTTGAGGTGCAAGCATGACTATAAAAATATCTCTGTGGATACACAGGGAAGTGCACTGAAAATTACAAAAATCTGCCATAATTTAACAATTTTCCCACACTTTATGGATTTAATTTTATATACTGTATATATACTACCATTCAACAGTTTCAGGTTGGTAAGATGTTTAAATATGTCTGGAAAAAAGTCTTTTGTTCACCAAGGGTGCATTTATTTGATCAAAAATACAGTAAAAACACTAATATTGTTCAATATAATTAGAATTTAAAATAACTCTTTTCTATTATATTTTAAAATGTAATTTATTCCTGTGATGCAAAGCTGAATTTTCAGCATCATTACTCCACATTTCAGTGTCACATGATTCTTCAGAAATCATTCTAATATGCTGATTTGCTGCTCAAGAAACATTTTGTATTATTGAAAACAGTTGTGCTGCTAAATATTTTTGTGGAAACCACAATATTTTGTTTTTCAGAATTATTTGAATTGATAGATCATCAGAAAAGCATTTATTTAATATTATAAATGTCTTTAGTACTTTTGATCAATTTAATCCATCTTTGCTGAAAAAATACTGACCCAAACATTTGAATGGTACTGTAACAAACACCCCTCTCATCAACCGTTTGTATTAGTTAATACACAAGGCAAAAAAATGGTTAAAATTAATTGTATTGTTAGTGAATAAGAGACATTTTTTTGTGATACCACAGGTGCCTTACCCCAGGTGGACGGTTCGAATGTGCCTTTGGATCCCGGCAGCTGTGCTCAAGACCTTCCCACAGTTCTTCCACAGACACTTGAACATCACCTTCATGGAGTTCTGTCAAGGACACAGGTGCACAGTGAGTACACTAATCCACATCAATCAGCAGACCTCTTGTCCCCAGCATTCAGACGCTCACAAAGGACTGACACGGGGGATGCAAGGGGTGCGAGCGGAGCCCAGAGCCTCAAAAGGATGCCCACCTTAGACGTCTCTCTTGCTTTATTCTGAGACTGGTAATTGGTCTGCATTGAGAGTGACACTATAGCACAGTCTTTCAAAGCTCATGTCATCTTTCACACAGTGTGTCTGCACTAATTACACAATTGTCATTTGAGAGCTGCAGCTCCCGTGTCAAAACTGCACTCGGGTTGAAAGCACAAGTGAGCATAAGTGAAGATGAAAGTCTTAATACTTCGATCTCTCGACATATGCGGTTATGCCAGTGTGGTACGTTTGTTTACCATTGTTATGACGCTAATTTAATTTTCACTAGATAGCCATTGTGTTGGTCTGGCAAACAAAGCAGCTCCTTCCCGCTTAATCGGTTCGTCATGTCCCTGGATGACAACAGCGCCACAATTCCCAGTGCTATAAACCAGCTACTAATTAATAACACAGTTCAAACTGGTTGGTGTCCTCATGTTGAAGTCAATTCTCTAGAAGGCAGCTGAAGGTCAAAGCAGAAAGCTTTGCCATTTTTCTTTTTTTAGGAAAGACCCTTTAGAAGATGCTGCCAGGAAAGACACTGAGATATGACTGATTGATGGGTTGGGAGGCAGCTAATGGTTCCACAGCAATTCCTAGAAATTATTCTAAAAGGAATGGCACTTATTCATCAACCGCGTTATTAATTATATATATATGCGATATACCGGAAGACACGAAAGTTTTTAAGCGTTTCAGTTAAAAAATTTAGTGATTTTAAGCCATTGAAATGCAATCAGCAGTGAAAGTGAATTTCACTATATGTGCACGCTGTCTGAGAGACACGTGCACGTGAAGACTGTGCTCATAGAGCACGGGAGTATTGAACTGAGTTATTTTTGCTGCTTTATAGGCCTTGATCGGTTAAATACCGATAGTACCGGTTTAGTTTAAACTGAAAGGACCGAAACGACCGTTTTCTCATGCTGAATGATAAGCAGATGAAATATCATGTGTTTAAAAAACAACACAGAGCGTGAAGAAAGTTCCTAGTCTGTTTTATTTTAGGTTCATCATCAGGCTATCTATCCAATTTGTTCTCCTTTTAAGATTGCTATTTTATACTTTATTATACAATAAGGTATATAATACATAAATAAACAAATAAATAAATTTTATACTTTATTATACAATAAGGTATATAATACATAAATAAACAAATAAATAAATAAATGTTAATGTTATGTTGCTTCCATTGTCCTCATTTTTAAGTTGCTTTGGATAAAAGCGTCTACTAAATGTAAATGTAATACACACTTGTATGTTTCAAAATGTCTTCTTTGCAAGTATAAGCACAGTAATTTAGGTCTTAAGTGAAAACAAACAGCTGAGAAAGAAAACATGTGTATTGGATCCGGGCAGCTCTTAAAGTGACAGCAGTTTAATATTCCTGCGAGTATTAAGTTATTTTTTGCTGCTTAGGCCTTGAACGGTTAAATACACACACTTGTAAGTGTCAAAATGCTTTGCAAGCATCTTCGTAAACACAGTAATTTAGGTTTTAAGTGAAAGCAAACAGCTGAGAAAGAAAACACATGTGTAACAGTGTATTGGATCCGGGCAGCTCTTAGAAGTGACAGCAGTCTAATATTCCTGCTGTCTGTCATTCATGTTAATCAAACAACAAAAGAGAGAAAATCTATCACTGTTCTTGACTAAATCACTTTTGTAACTTTAATAATAAGAAATGTATATTTAATTTACACAGTGAAGAATATGCAGTGTTTTTATACATTTGATTACTTTATAGCCTACAATGTATGTAGCATTTCTTATTTAACTGTTCTAATGTAGTTTTTTTTGTCCTATTGCTTGTAATTTTTCTTATTCTTATTTAATTGCTGACTGTTTACTTGTCTTCAGTGAGCTTGCGTTTTTGTTTGTTTGTTTTTAATTTAGGCTAGTATTAGTTTTTTTGTGATATTGACACTGGTGACAAGAATTATGAAATTTCAAAAATTTAGATATCATAAAGACCTTATTTCATGCAGAAATAACTATATTGTG